AAAAAATGTTTTTTTTTTTTTTTTTTTTTTTAATCATTTTTAAAAATTACGATGGTACACGCTGTAAGCTAGACTGACTGACGCACATTGAAATGGATTTGGGAATTTAATTTATTTTTTTCAACATCCCCCCTCCCCCAATCCTCTCCCCTCCCTCCGCAAATTCTTCAGAAAACACTGATAAACAATCGATCTATATTTTCCACAAAAGTGAGGGGGAAATGAAAAAAAACCCAAAACCAAACTGAAATTAAAATGTAATTGCGAATCCTCGGGTGCTGAACCACAAGTACGCTGAGGTCGACAGTATATCCGATCTGTCTGTTTGTATTGCAGGTGCACGGGCATCCAATTCCATATTTGAATTAGATAAAAAAATAAAATTAAAAAAAAGAAGCTGAATCGTGTCATTTGAACTATGTATAGTCATGTAAATCCAGCCAAAGTGTATTTGTGCAAGAGAGTCATTTTTTTTTTTTCAGTTGAGGGTCACTACATGCCCTCTACAAATGAGTGGTTTTCAAACGACAAGAAATATTTACTTAGCAGTCGAGGAAACTGGAGGCTCCATGTGTTTTGGCTTAAAGGCACAATTTCCATGTTGTGAGATATAATTGCTAAGCGTGGCGCACTTTGAGCAGCGGGGTGAGGCGAACACTTCAAACCGCAAACGGTGAATAAGAAGTATTTTTTTTTTTTCAGTTGAGGGTCACTACATGCCCTCTACAAATGAGTGGTTTTCAAACGACAAGAAATATTTACTTAGCAGTCGAGGAAACTGGAGGCTCCATGTGTTTTGGCTTAAAGGCACAATTTCCATGTTGTGAGATATAATTGCTAAGCGTGGCGCACTTTGAGCAGCGGGGTGAGGCGAACACTTCAAACCGCAAACGGTGAATAAGAAGTAGCTCACAAACGTCAACATGTGTTTCTCATCTTGAATCCTGGACCTGAAAACAATTTCCAAATTTCCTCCACGGCCAACAATTCTTCCTGCACCGACTCGCGGGGAAAATTGAAGCTCGACGCTGTAACGATAAAGCTGAGTTTACGATTTGTTTAATGGGTATTTTGATGTGAAATATACTTTTTATACACCGCTGCTCTCCAACAAGGTACTCACGGAAAATGAAGTAGACACATTTTAATGCAATATGCAAGTTGAAAATGACAAATGAAAATGGAAGGAAAACATTTCTCCATCCACCTGTGATGTGGCTGGAGCTTATTATCGCCTCTATTTTATCAGCAGGATTCCACTTCAGGGAGAATTGTCATTAATAAAGAGTGGCACGGGCAGAAAAGCAGAGTCATATTAGATTTCAAGTAAACAAAATGTATCAGTTATTTTATGTGGACTAAAAACTACAACTACACCAACCCCCCCCCCCCGCCCCCCATTTAAAAACAGATTTCTGCTCTTGCGAATGACGGAAGAAGTACTGCAATGTTAAAATGGCACAAAGCGAGCTACGAATCTTTAAATCAATCTCGTCCCGGGGAGGCACTTCTATTCCCCCCCCATTTGAGCTGAAGCAGATGTGTCCACATATGTTTCCCTGCGATATCCAGATGCTTGCCATGTGCTTAACAAGCTGCGGACATAAAACATTGTCTAAGATTGTCTACTTCCAAGACACTTTTTAGAGCCCAGAGATCATAAAGTAAATTACGAGCCGCATTATAAAAACAGCGAGCAACGTTTCATGCCGGCGCATCACTTTTTAGAACACAACCACTTCATCTAAACACTTAAAATTCCAAAAAGATTACCAACACTGTCTATAAAAATCAAGGCAAAGACAAACGATAGTATGGCTTAACATTATGGCCCCATAATGAGATGAACCATACTGGTGTTGCATAGCTTTAGCGCCGATGATAAACTGCATAATAAGGCTGTCTATCTAGGGCAGTTATGAGCAAGGGCAGCGCAGGAAGTTTTAGTGCATAAAAGCCTGGAGAAAACTCGTTGCTCCTCTCCTAATCAATCTGGAGAGTTCAGCCGAGCACCTTTACTGGGCTCCTTTGCAATTTCAAACTTATTGCCTGTCCAACAATCATCACGGTGAAGACATTTCAAGATTACAGGAAAACCTTTACAGTACTCTCTGCTTTGTTACGTCGTTTCACGCTTATTAGGCTTTTCCTTTATTGACCAAAATTATGTGACGGGACTATGATCTCAGGGAAGATGAGCGAGTTGAGTGAGAGTGGCCTGCACTATTACACAGAAATATGGCTTTAAAAAAACAAAACAAAACAAAACAGCATGAACCTCCTTATCATAGGTTACAAGGACTGGATCCACCCCGTGCGAGCCTTAGAATTCATGACAGTATGATTAAGTGCCAAAATCTACTTTTGAGATTTTTTGCAATCACAAATTTAGGAAAACTAGCATGATTCACTGAAATAAGTGAAACGTACAGAGATGATGGTAATGGCGTAGAGCAAAATTCGGTCAAATGGTCACCTCTGGAAGAGGAACGCAATCCTGGAATAAGTTGCCAATACACATTCCAGACTGTGATAACTATCCACTTTTCAAAACAAACAACCAAACAAACAAACTTCAACATTGGCTAAAAATGCACATGTGTTTAATGTGCGATTCCAGACTCCAGCCCATTCCAGTGGGCTTCTGGCCAGCAAATTTGTAGCTCTAAGTGATTTGTCTGTCCTGGTCGATTGTCTTGTAATTGAGTACTGCAACTGTTTGTATTGTCTGTTTTATGATGTCTTACCTATTTGGTTCTTGTTTCTGTCATCGTGGTTTTAAAGTTTTATGTGTGTCACTGTGCTATTTTAGAAACCGGCTTTGGGGACTACGGCTGACAACTAGCATTTATGCTAAGTCCAGCGCATTGACACTGTTCATTCTTGTGTTGATTAATGTGCACTGTCCCAATGAAATAAATAAATAAAGAGTAAATAAACAAACACATAAAATAAATAAAGAAATACATAAAATGATGACGACGAGGTGGCAACTACCTCCGCTGCAGTCATTTCCTGGGAGAGCTCCTGGATTTTCTGCTGCTGTTGGACAAGGAGCTCCTGGAGAGAAGTCATGGTCTGCTGTAGCTGTCCAACTGATAACACAGGGGGGGGGGAAGAAAAGTGAAAATATTCTAAACAGCAAATATGATAGAAAGGCTACGTTGGTGGTGTCACCCAAGAATAAATAATAAAAAAATCCAAAAATACATCAACTTGTGACACAGATCAAAACTGTCCAAGAAGAATTATAATTAAAGGCAATAGCCAGCTGCTATTTGGTCAGTCACTGGGGGCTGCACAAAGGATGAAGATATTAATCTCTCGTGTCTGAACTTAAATCAAATAACAGTCTCTAACCTTCCATTATCCACCCAGACACGAGCCTTCTAATGCATCTTAAATCCTCAAACGATCAACAAAGAAAAAAAACAAGGCTCTCATTTAGCAGGAGGCTGCCAGACAAAATGTCCCTCCTAATCCGAATAAATATTGTTCTTTTTTTTTCCCATTGACTTTGAAGATTGAATTAGTTCAAGTGTTGGTGTTGGATGCGGGTGTATGATTTCAAATAACAGCGGGCACAGTTTGTTGCCCCCTGCTTCCAGTCACGCATGTATTAGCAAACAATGCATTAAGTTTCCCTGAGCTGATTATATTATAGAAAACCAATAAACATTCATATAAATCATGGGCGTGTAAAGTGTTAAATCAAGGCTAATAGGATTAACATCAACAGTTATTGTGGCGGTCCACTGCTGAGGTTGTCAGGCCAATGCGTAAAAGCCTGATCTGCAGCCGGCTGGGTGGGATGCAGAGAACCACATAAATGTAGACTTGGACAAAAGCTTGTGAGCCAGTTTGTGAGGTAGAAAACCGGCACAGACAAAATATTTGATCTTTCAAAGAGGCAGCACCTGTATTTAAAATGGGTGGGGTGGTGTTTAATATAGGTAGGGTGCTGACATGTTTGATCTTTCCATGCTTTGCAGAATCCAACAAAATACACGTTTGAGCAAGACGGCCGGTGCCAAAACCCCAAGGGTTGAAGCTGCTTATTCCGTTTGGGATCCTGAACGTGACCAAACTCTCTGAGGGTTGTAATAAACGTAAATGCGATAGCCCTCTTAAAAAAGGTGTCACTAAGGGAAGGGTGCGCTAAATCAAGAGTTGCCCTTTTGGTTTCTAATGACGCCTTACTGCACAATCACTTCTCCATACGAGTAGGTCAGTCCACCAGCCTGTGCTGCTGACTTCTGAATTAGCGCTGGCCCGGTTTTTAAACAACGACAGCCAAAGCGTCCACAATCCAACCTTACACTCCTTTGTACTGACAAAAATGTATAATTCCTTATCCCTAGTCATCACAGTTATGAAGCCAAGAATAATGAAGTCAATGACTTTGGCAAAGCATGAATCAGACGGCAGCTGTAGCTTGGTCGCACGCGCGTGTCTGTGCGCGCGTGCGCCGCAGAAAGATGAGACACGACGATATCTGAGGCTTGCAGCTGGTGCGTGGAGGGTTCATATTGTCCATTCAGTAAATTATTCAGTAAATACCTCAATATAATGTACACTACATATGTCCAGGCCAATGGCCAGCTGGTCACCAATATGGTGCCCCAAAACGCAGGGTGCCCAAACAGCCGCACAATTCCATTACAGCCTCAGCCCACTGAAGTTGTTCCAAGATCCATTCATTAATTGTCTTTGTGAAGTTGCAGGCAAATCATAATGGGAGTCATTGCCCCTACTCTCGAGCTGGCGCTGCCAAGAGAGACTAATGTAGTCCACCCTTCAACTCGATACATCACCTTGTTGCACTCGGGACTAGAGAAACATATGAACTTTAACAAAAGGGAGGGGGGCATGGGGGGGGGGGAGCAGTTGGCAGCGGTGAGACGACCGGACGCTATTATTCAGTGCAGCAAGGAGGGACGCAGCGAGAAGTAGAGGCAGACCAAGCAAAGGCAGTGGGAGTAGTGCATAGTAATTGCAACATCCCCACTCCAATTGTGGACTACAACAGTCATTAACTACAATAGCCGCTTGACTACTGCTAGTCATAGCAAATGACTTCCAACACTTGCCGCGGAAGAGTGTGTTTGTATTCTTCACCCAACAAGAGTCTCATCTATCGAGTGCATAAAGACTAAGAGCAAAGGAACCATGGAACCGCTTGAGACTCAACAATTCACAATTTGACAAACACTGACCAAGTTAGTAATATGAACCTCTATCTCCAATCGTAAAACTGTTTTTTGGTGTAAATTAACCCGTATGGCTCACAAGAAAGTGTGAGGACCAAGTGATTTTGTAGGAAGCCCTGAAAAGTGTCATGGTCCAGGCGGCGTCCGATGAGCTCCCTCCCCTCCCCGCCTCTCCCCCGCGGCCTAAGCGACATTGCAGGTGGACCATTTGGTGGCGTTCCGGCAGCTTGGCAGGAGGTTTTCGGCTCCGTGCGCTCGCTTGCGGCTGGGGGGGGATGCCTTGCAGTTTTTGCTCCTTGCTGGGCCGTCTGCGAAGGCCAAGGGAGATGCGACTCGATTCAAGGCTTGAATGGATGAATTCTATTTCCGTTCATTTAAATGGTAAAAACTGCTTTGGTTTACAAACATTTGTGTGTGCAAATGGAGAATCAGAATGAATTAAGTTGAACCGATGAGGGTACCATCACTTGAAAAGTGGCACTGAGTCAAAGCTTTGTCAAAGGGCCTCTTATTTACACCATCCTGGATTTTTAATTATATTGACGAAGAGCAAGGGAAGCATCTCTCTCGCGCTCTCTGCGCGTCTGACAGTTAGCTTGCGATTCCTCAGCTGTCCAACATGGGAGCCGCACCTGTCACTATGTACTTAATCACCCACGGGGGCCGACGCTGTGCCCAGACGCCACACAGCGCCATGCTGCGTGCACATCCAACCAACATGCACACAAGCTACACAGAAAATTAAAATGAACTTTCTCGCCACCTACGGGGCAGAGCGTGGCTGGTGACGATGGCGGTGAAGCACTGGATAGGGTCGGTGCAGCGATGGAAGGTGGGGGGATGAGAGAAGGTGGGCGGGGGAGGAGGAAAAAAGTTGTCATTTCCCGACTCCTCATTAATATTCTGAGGTTAAGAGCTTTTCAGCGAAACGTAATTAATTGAGCCCGAGCCTGACAGTAAACAAGCAATTTCAAATTAAAGCAAAATGACAGCGGCATCATTTGTTAAAAATGCGCAGGGCCTCCCAATTTTGGCAACAGATAAATGAGGGAAAATGTTAAGGAGGGAGAAACTGATGAAGATATTAATCTTCACCTGTCTGTGTCAGCGTGCCACTCATTGCCGCGATGTTGCTCTCCATCTTCTGCAGATGCTTCTTGTCCTCTCGACTGTCCATAATGAGGGGAAGGATGTATTTCTGCAATTAAAAGCGTGACACAATATTAGACTTCTCTCTCTGGTGGCAAGTGGAAGAAAGATGAGTAGGAGAAAGTGCCAGCAAGACGTGGCAGTGGGGGGTCAAAGACATTGTTTTATTGGACTAGTGTATCATTGTGTAAACTGGGTCTGATTAAGTGCACATTTCCGTGTCCGAGCAAGTGAATCAAGTATCAGGTGTTGAAGCCATTAGTAGATTAGAAAATGCCTTCACAGCTGTTGTTATTATTGCTTTAACATGTTCGTAATCTATCAAACCAGTTCCACATTCAAGTTGGAGGATCTGATTTAACGCCGTCAATTATTTAAGATTTAGATTCATTCCAATTTCATTTACATTTATTTGTTTTCTAATAAATCATGGAAAATGATAATGACGAAAAAAATACATTTATCAGCTGAATCAGTAATGACAATAATTATAAACTGGGGCCCAGAAAACATACTGTAACATCGACCAAAGTGAGAAAAGTCCACAAGTCAATGAACCCTATGAATGGTTAAGACAGAACAATACTAATGTTTACTGATTACTTAGTGAGAAATAAAATAAACCGTTTTTTACCTGAAAAAGTTGATTGTGTGCACGGGAGATTGCTCACCAAATAAAACAATGAAAAACATTAAGGATTCATCGAAAATTTGGTCACCGAAAATTTTTGGCCCGAAATGGCCAAAAAATGCATTTTCAATTGCAAACCAAAAACTTTTATCATAGATGATGTAAGCATAAATTACCCTCGACGGCGGTAGCCAACAAGAGGGACGTATGGCCGCCGAACATCGTCTGTCCAAACGTTTGCTTATACCATCGCATCTTGCCTGTGTACAAAACTAGCCTCGCAGCTCTGTGGTTGTGGCTGGCTGGCTGGCTGGCTAGCTAGCTAGCTAGCTAGCTGACATGGCGGCGAAATAGCAGCCGCTCCTCTTGAGGTCACTCATCATCACCTCCACGTTGACAAATAAGGAAAAGTAGTGTTCTCAGGAAAGAACTAGTAATTAACAGGGGAAGACATAACATAAGTCAGGCAAGACCCCTTGCCCACAATACATTCATATACAGTATCATAAATACAGGTATATGTAATTTATTTGTTTGCATAATAGAGTTCATTGTTTTGATTTTGACTGCTGAGAGCTGCACAAGAATTGTTCTCAAATTGACAATCTTATTTTAATTTTTTTTTTTAATCAATTCAGCTTTGCTATACGACCATAAATGCTGAGAACTTCTTGTAACGTGTCATTCTGGAAATGAAACTGTCGGCGCATCATTTTATATTTAGCAATTAAGTGCCAAGATATCATACTGAATAACTCAAAACTGAGATCGAACAAAACAAAACAAGCAAACAAAAAAAAGCTGCCAATATTTTGTAATGCTAAACTATTACAACGCATTAATTATCATGAAAACATCATGTTTGGAGTCTTTCTGACGGTGCGTGTTTGTGGTTGGCCGAGATGCAAATGTTCCTGTCAAAAATCTAAAAGTTTTTGACAAAATATCCAGAATGTTCCTGTCCCTTTCAGTGTTTTGGTTTTCAGACTTGAGTTCTTCATTTTCGGTTTGCGGTTTCAGCAAAGAATTCTAATTTGAGTGCATCTCTTAAAAAAATGTGGTGGAGTAGCTCCTTTCACACTCAATTTGGAGCCAGTTTTCTGCCCAGCTCAATTGACACAACCAAAGCATGAAAATATGTGTTTGTGGGGGGGGGGGGGGGGGGGGGGATAATTTAATGTCAACACGCGGTATCTAATAAATAGGTTGCTGTGACGGAGGTGTTTACAAGGTGCACAATAACAAAGTATGGGCAGAAGCCAGGACATATGGTGCGACTGGCGCAATGCTCCTGTGACATGACAGCAACCTGTGCCGTCCCGCCAGGAGATCCCAACACTCTGGTGACTGGGGGGCTGGCGAACCCAGCACTGGGGAAACTGAAGACTACTCATGCTGTATTTTTGCAAGCTAAAGTCTCTCGAGAAAGAAAATTACTTGTTGCTCTGAAAACTGTGAAAATTTGAATAACAGGACCGACGTAAAAGTTAATATCTGGCTGCGTCGTGCGCGCTCGTGCACTCCAAGAGGAAACCGGCGTGTCATCTAGCACAAGATCGTGTGCTAAAACTTCGGTCCAGCTCCAAATGGAGTGTAATGGCCTCCATGTGCCACTCAGACTGCTACTACAGTAACAACCACTGTGGGATTAAATGCACTGAGGACAAAAGGCCCCATGAGCTCATGTTCAAGTGCTGTTACACCAGATACTAACCAGGCTGATTATTTTTAGATGGTCACATGTCAAAAAAAAGGATTTGAACCATGTTATTCACAAAACATATGAACGAGAAAAACAAAAACGAAGAGGGGGGGGGGGTCTAAATGAGCTTCTGATTTGACGTGAAGCAGGATCACTTTAAGGAGTGGAGAGCAAACAGAGCAAAGTTACATGCTGCAGAGATGGCGGCTACTATAACAGTATAATTCATCAAATTGATGAGCTGGCCACCAATTTAAATGTAGCGTCAAGAGAGACACCACTGACAGATTTATGCGTATAAAACATAACGTATAACCAATCAGAAAAAAATGCTAACCAAGAATGCAAAACCGGTTCGAGATCAGTCAAAAAGGGGCGTGGCCTACTGCACCTTGTAAAGTTGATGACAGCTGTAGGCGATGCCCACCATCATGATGGTAAAGGCACCATAGTCTCTCCATCTGTAGCCTTTTGGACCTTGACAACAGGGGAAAATTGCATGTCAATAGGAAAATTGCACACTGAACACAAAATTTCGCACCCACATTTGAAACCTTAGTAAAACATTTCACTCTGAGCTAACGTGCAACACACCCAACAACAGCACATGTAATCTGTTAGAGTTAACCCACAAATCAGCGCCACCTACTTGAGATCTTTGTAAATCAGGCCCATAGTGGGTAATGAAAGTACAGTGTTTAAAATGATCCATGACCGCTAATATAAACACACATTGGTTGCAATAGAAGGCACAGTAATTTCCCTACATTAGAGGTACTTGTATGAATTTAAGTGTAATGTACAAGACTCCTTATTGTTAAGGTTAAAAAAGTCACAATGGCAGAAAAAAGTTTTGTAAATGCTTTATCTTGGTCTCATTTTTTCATTTCACAAAAATCTGGCATTCGGACAGGCGCTGTGTAGACTTTTGATATGCGCTGTAAACAAGGCAAAAACTGAACTTAGTCATTTGTCGATGTTCAGCTGAGTGACAAGATACTGCGAAAGCATGCCATTGTCTAAGCTGTCATGAGGGCCAATTGTCTGTCAAACTGGAAATTCCCCACACAAGAAAACCAGTGAACTGTAAAAGTCATTAAACAACAAAACAGGTCTTGTTGATACAGTTTTTTTCTTTTAACTAGGTGACGCTCTCATGAAAAACAAAATGGGCCTCAGGACACAGGGACAACATTCTAGCGCCAGTTTCATTTGACTTAATGTGGCATTTTCTACTGGCGTCATATGATTTGGCAATCAAATCAAATGAAAAATCGACTGCTATATTGGACGTGGTATATAATTTCAAGGTGAATGGTGTTAGTTTCCTACCAAGGGCATGTTTTATCGCTGCGGCGGCATTCAGGGGATGAACCTGTAACCTTCCCTCTCGAAAATTTTTGAATCATTCCCCAACATTTATATGGTAACCACATAAATTTGGGTCTTCATCAACATTATAGCTGCGATAGACTGTCACCTGTCCCACAATACTGTGCTTCTGAAAGGCCTCTGAGTCCTTGGTATGGGTGGCTGACCCTGGACAAGACTCACTGCATCATCACATTGGGTCTTCATCGGCTCCCCCTCCCCTTTTGGACCTTTCGTCTTTCTCTGTCCCTTCCTTTTTCCTCGAGCACTTCCACGCTGCCATCTTCCTTTTTTTTATTTGGTCACTTAAGCTGGGGAACAGTGGAGTCCATCCCCCAGTTTTCCAATCTCCTCTCAAATTTATTGGGTTCAGTGGAGGCCTTCCTGTCCTTCTACCACATGGAAATAGAGATCAGAGTATCCATTACTTCGACAGAGATGGATGCGGGTCCCCATGTACGGTCCCTATGACAAGGACATCAAAGGGAGGTGGCCCTCTCTTTTCGGCGTGACCCCCCCATACAAGACTTCCCGCTCTCACTTCATTATGCAGCTTCCTCATAGCCATTTTGATATAAAACCCCCCGCTATGGACAGAGAGCCACGAGTCCCCCTAACTACATGGCCATCCCATCAACATCACTTTCATTACAAAACATGAGTTGTCGGGGGAGTCAAGGACAGGGTGGTAATAAATGAGGGTGGAATACATCCGGAATCATTGTCATATGGGTTAAGCATAACGCAGACTTCATTCTGCATTGGTAAATCAGTGGACGGCACTTATAACCCCACGAGGTAATAAACACACACGTTGCCTTGTGGGGTCTTGCCACGGTGGAACTATTTGAGACGCCATGGCAAGGGTAGATGTCACGGGGCGGTGTTGCACAATGCCATATTCCACAAAATCTGAAATAGCTATCAAGGATATTGCTCTAACACATGGAAAAATGTAGAAAAAAAAATCCAGGGAATCGTCTGATGAACTAGAAGAGCACTCAGTAGAGCACAGTCCAAAACAGACAAACAACTGTAATTTGGATCAGCAGTCAATCACTTTCAAAGACATCCACTTCCTGTATAGGGCCAAAATCACGAAGATGAACCTTTTTTTAATCCGTTCAAAAAAAAAAAAAAAAACTCGAATGGGAATGAGAGGGAAGACCAAAAATAGAACTAACGACTTCAAAACAAAGTGTGTTAGCTTTCCATGTTGTGTACATAGTAATTATGCCATTATGAAACACAAGAATGAGTTGTGCACTCACTGTGTGGAACAGCAGCGAAGTGAGGAGAGTCAGGAGGTTGCGGTAGGCCTACAGCTCTCAAAGGCACGACCTCTTCTGCGCTGCCCGAACGCCGAATGGCCAACTCAACCTCCTCATCCGTCAAGCCTGCAATCAATTACGACATTTAAGAAACTCCTGGGGTTTTGGTGACTTACAGTACACGTTGACAACAAAATGGCTCCTTTGCAATCCTCATGCATACATTAAAACTTTCAATTGTCCTTAATATGAACTCATTCGATTTCCCCAACTGTAAGCCTTAAGAATATATTTTCATTTCATAATTCAAAAATTCCTGGGAGAGTTTGAGGGATATCTTAAGTTTAAGGAATGCCTATCAAGGGAGACGATGTGCAAAGCTTCCCTCCAATGAAATCGGAAACTCAGCAAGCCTATTAAGTGTCACCAAAGGCAAAGAAAATAAGTCTGTCCACTTCTCCTTGTTATATTTCCCATGTGGAAATTTCATACACCCCAGACAGCTAAAATGCATTATTTTAATTTCTTCATTGTAATGTAAATGTATTACATAAATTTGCAAATGCCAATATAATTTAATCTTCAGATCTTTTTAATGATTTTAGTTTTGATTAAATTGCAAAGGGCTCCCTGATGGAGAATCAGAAGGGAGGAGGAGAAAAAAAAATCTAATATGAACATCCTCTTTTGTGGGAAGAAAGGGCTGCGGTCCAGGCTCCGTGTTATGCCATTGATGTGGGTCTAAATTCAATGAACATTTGAGTCAAAACACAGAATGACATAACTTCATGAATTTATGATTAACTATAGCCTATGAAATAACTATCCCAAAATCTTAGGACACATGGTGACGATCAACCACAACTTGCATTTAAAAGTACAGTGCTACCTTGACTTACAAGTTGAATTCATTCCCTGAACGCGCTTGGCACTCAAAACACTTGTAAATGTCTCTCAAATCATCTTTCCCCAATGAAATATGGAAATGCAATAAATCCGTTCAAGCGCCTGAAAAAAAACAGAAACAAAAATAATATAACGTGCTTTTAAGATGAAAAATATCAGGATTGCACTTTATATCTTCAGTCATAACAAATGTAAAAGAATGTATGGAACAGAACAGTTTGGGTATGAAGACAATGAAATAAGCATTGTGTTGCATATTTCTGGCGTGCGTGCCCAGGCCACCGCGGGGCAGCATTACAAGTTCCATTACAACTAAGTTGTAATTTTATTTTATTTTATTTTTTTCGCCTGTGAGTATTGTTGTATGCCCTGCTCGCATGTGCTGATACCGTGTTAAAATACAAGATGTTTAAAAGTTGATAATCATTGCATCATCAATTCCAGTTTTGTGAGCCTGTCAATGGCATTTTGCATGGTGTGTTCAAATTAACGAAAGGAGTGTCGTCAGACAAAGGTAACGTGCTTCGCTTAAATACACAACATGCAATTCCCTTTGTTTTATATTTAGTTTTAAATTAAAGTTCAACTGGGAGTGGCAATCAGCAGCATGATCATCTGGCAAAGTGCTGCCTGTTGTGTTTGGTGCCAACACAGCTGAGTAATGGCTCGGAAAAAAAAAACAACAAAAAAAACAAAAAAAAACTTGAAAGTCAGGTTACTCATTTGCGGATGTGCCATTGTACAACCTTTTCACACAAAATCAGGTCGGGTTACTTCTTTAGTTCAGAGGCATCGCAATGGTGAAAATACTGACATTCAAAAATGGCTTTGTGTTTGCAGTAATCAGAGAATCTGGGTCTGGGCTGACCCCATCAATGGGGTCGGTACAGGTAACCGATATAAGGCTGTTCCTCCCAGGTTATGGTTGGCAAGTCATCGACTAAAGCGTCGGGGTGGGCACACTGCCAAACTAAAAATAAAATCTGTCAAACGAGGGCAAAGACTGGTCCTCTTCTGGCCCTCTCCCATCAAAGAGGACCTCAGCGGTGGATGAGGTGGAATAGGTGGCACAGCGGTGAATTGAATTTGGTCTCCCATGGGAGAAACTTTTCCTGACCCAACAGTTGTGAAGGGAGACAAAGGTTGCCGGCAGTCCTTCAATCCCAAGCATCTGGGCAGCACCAGCCAGTAGATTTGAGTGGTGGACTGTCATGGCTTCTTCAGGGTGCACCAACAACGCCACCAAGTCAAGTGCAGGCGTCTCCAAAGAGATTCTCTTGGAACTAACTGGAGAGATGCAGAATACCACATTTACGTGTCGTTTTCATCCTGGCAGCTAGACGGGCTACGTTCACACTGCACGACCCGTTGGACAATTGTAATTTTGTTTGCTAAACCGGTCTTTTGTCTCTTATGTTCTCATTCAAATTATAAAAACAAATGCCTCCTTGAATGTGAACCAAACGCATTATTTGACAAATGTTTGAGGTGTGCAGCAAAAGTGGGGGGGGGGGGGGGGTGTTGGCTTCAAAAGCGTGGGACTGTCTGTCTTAACACACAAAGGAATATCCATCTAATCATCTCGTTTATAGAAGACGACGAAGGGGAGGTCCAGACTATCCTCTCCTTTAACTCAATAAGAACTTCCAAATTGCCGTGAAGATAGTGAAATAAATCGACAGCAGGCGTTGGCTATCCTGTGGTCTACAGAAGGGCCTGAGTGCCAGGAAGTGCTGCACAACATGTGCTGAGTTTGTGCAGTCAGACTGCACTGTCAAATAAGCAATAACGTCTCCCTGGACTCCATATTCATCTGACCACAGCAGACTACATGGTGGCGGAGTGTTGCGTGAGAGGAGCGAGGATCTCCGTAGATCTTTTCCTTATACCTCGAAATGTAAAAGTATACAGGGCGGCTAACAGGTTTGATTCATGCACATCATGCAGTGATTAAAAATGATGTAAGGTTTGTACAGGAAAATGGAAGTCAAATGCAAATCAAAAAGAAAACGCTCCTCCACAGTGAATGCGCAGCAACAAACAAAAGTTGCGCTGTTGGCGCTGATCTATTTGAACACAGCAGCAACAAATGAAAGCAACCTCGGATCCAACGGAAAAGAGGACAAGGTTTTACATATAAAAGGGAAGACAAAACAAAAAGGGGTTGATGACATTTATTCGAGGTTCCAAAACCTGTAGAATGACCCCAGGACCCCCATTTCAGATCGACCCCATGGGGTGATGAATTTTTAAGACATAAATTACACCTAATGACGACACCATAAAAAAAAAGAACAATAATGGAAAGCTATTCTGTATTTCATTATACTGTATTATTTGCTGCACCTGATACACACGGTGCCTGTTTATGAGTCACAGTATTAGCAGATGCTCAGCCAAAGCATTTGCTTTGACCTTGCCATTCTCATTGGGGCATGAAATTACGGTGCTGGCACCTCGATATTACAGCTATAAATACTGTAAACTGCATATCTGGACTACCTTTTCTATTGTCTTTCAACATAAACCTGATCGGTATTTATTTAAAGGAAAACCCATTGCTCGTCAGGTTATTTACAGCTCTATTTCCACCGCCTCATATTCTCTCGGCATTTTTAAGGGCAAAGAGGCAGTCGGGCTCTTTTATTAAATCAATTTCTCCAATTCTGGCATTCCTCGACTTTATGGGTCAAGACCTCGGCAGGACAGTCAATTACGAAAATGGTGCACTGAAATAATTTGGGTAAAAGGTGAACACATTTTACAAGGGTCCTTGAGAACAATTAGATTTTGGAAATCATTTTTTAAAACAAAGATCCACGGTGCAGGTTCCGTCAAGTAGAAGAAGGTCAATGGGATATTAAGAAGGGGAGGGCGTGACTTCGACACATTGAATACGTGGTAAGTTGTGGTGAGGGTCCTTCACATCCTTTTAGTTTGATACAACTGCTCGAAAATGGCACACGCTCTCATAGAGTATTCATTTATGTATTAAAAAAAAAAAAAAAGAGGGGACAGCGCTCGTTTCCCGGCTTTTATCGCCCTACTGATGACAAAGTAGGCAAGGCCTCGACTAGGTGGCGCCGTGGAGTAATTTATAACCACATCAATCCCTTTACCTTCTTTGCAGGCCTTGGTCATTGTCATTTTTGTCCGAGAGGTGAGTCACATAACCCCACTTACATATAGCGTCCCATTAATATGTGAGATGATGAACCTTATCTTTCCCCTTACCTTCATACCATGCACAGTAATAGCCCGAGAGCCTACCTATGTTCTCTCTGACCCTCACTCGATGGCCCCTCTACTCAGGGTGAAATCCATTACTATTCTGTGAACTCACAGCAAAGACGGTGACACGGAAAGGAAATAAGGCGAGCCATCACTTTAGCGTAATAGGCAGAAAATTAACGCTTTTCTATTTTACGCGCAAAGAAACAGCTTCCCAAACAGACTCGGTACAACAGAGCTTGTCGGCTTTGGAGCCTCGGTCAAAGTGACATGGAACAAGATGGAAATGTTGTTGACTTAGTCCCGAGAATGACATTTTTGGGTAATTATGTGTGTGCAACAACTAATTGCCCGGGCTAAACTGTGGCTCCAAAATGGGTTTTGACACTTTTGACTGGTTATACCGCACGTGATAATTGTGGAAGACAGCGCAATCCGCTAAATGAGACAGCATGACATTATATTTCACTCAGACAGTAAAACATATTTAATGTTGGCGAGGAACAAGAAAGACAAAATTGCTCAGTCGGAGTAGTGTCTCCATGCAATTTATTTCCCCAACTCCTTTTGCAAAGAAAATAGAGTTGATCTGATTTAGAGCATGATTCATATTACATCTAGGTGACAAAGTTGCAATATTTCAGCCAGAACTCAGAGAGGGCATTTACAAATATCGGACCGCATAATTGCCAATTCATTCCTAGGAATTGACAGTTGAGGCAAAACAGAAATGATATTTTTCAATGAATGGTGAAATAAACCACACTATTAAGATGTCTTTGAAAACCGAGAGATATGACCACAGACGCAACCTTCGGCACAGATTAAGGCACAATTGTGCGGTGAAATAATATGCACGGGCGAGGTTATTGTGTAAAGATTCTGCAACGTACAATCAAAGTGGGGCCTATTTTCCCCTTCATCAGCTGTCCAGACTGCAGCGTAAATATTGCCGGCAAGAGGAATCCAATTTAAATTCCACTCTACCGGGAGATAGTATTGTTTCATTTTATGTGTGCTTTGACATTTCTGGCTGTTAATATAAAGTAAAATCCGGAGGTATTTACATAAACATGACATTAAACTGTATTAAAAATTAAGACATGACAGACACACTTGCAGTGGGAGAAGCAGGATGATTGAGTCCCGAGATCAAATGGTGAGAGGACTGAGCCTGCATTTAGACTGCAGGTCGCAATGGCCAATCTCTGACTTTGTGCCTATTTGTGATGTGTCTGTTTATCCGTACGCATGCACTTCAAATGGCACAAGTGCCGCAAATGATTTCAGAGCGTTTACTTAAATAATCCACAAGTGGCAGCTGAGATTCCTTTGTTGTGGCTTGCTACGGGTAAAAATGTATGTTGGGCACTACCGCTGTCATGGCTTACTTCACGGAGCCAGTTAAATTGTTGATTGGATCGGCGGATTAAGACACTACAGCTGATCACAAAATAGGCATAAATTGAAAATGATAGACAATCAGATCGTTGTAAATTCTACATTTAACTCCTCAAGGCTGTTGGATTTGTTTGTACTTTTGTTAGTTGCTCCTATATCACCAATGTTAGTGACTGTATACACACACACACACACACACACACACACACACACACACACACACACACACACACAAAATGTCACGTCAATGTGCGGATGCAAAGAGCCACACTTTCCGACAATAAAATATTTGATTCCCAGCTTTACTGTTGAGTGGCTGAAGAGTTATCCTCTCAAAACGGAAATATACTCTGCGCTTAGTGTTTCATTGTTGGAGTTTCGCTCATCTTTACAATGTCTTTCCCTGAGATCGATGTCCACATGCAAATTGAGGCTCCTTGTTCAGATCTACAGTGGAACTAACTTTCCAAAATAAATCTGCATTAAAACATCATACATATTTCATGGACTCGGAGTGCAGTAAGAGCAAACAGTTTTTCGACTGCAGCAAAGAGTTTAAAACAAAGAGGAAAGAATGGAAGTGTGCGGTAGTATAAACATTTGACGACAGGCTCTTGGTTTTATTATTTATCCAAGCAAACAATCTTCACTGTGACAAACACAAAGAACAGTTAAAAGACATCATGAGCCAGGAAAAGTGGACAAGCTGTTTCATGCAGATGGTTTCAGGTTACCTCCCCTGCTGTGGGGCTTTGAGACACATTTTGGACTTTTTCGGTACTCTAAATGTAAAAAGTCTGCGAGAAGCATGGCACCTTGAGTGAACCCAATCAACCCAATCAAACCAACTTCAATAGTGCTTGTTTTAAGCTGTAAGAAATGTGTGGCACAGCACAACATATTTCCCTCAAGCACATTGGACTAAACAAGCCAAAATAAATTCAGCCTGGTGACAAATAATATTATGCACCATGTTTTAAAAGCCATCTATGAATGGGATAAAAGCCTTCTCTGTCAGGCTTCAAATTTACAATAACAGTAAAATGAAGTAAAAGGGTTAAAAGGCCGAGGGGGCAATATTGAAAATTCCATTGAAAATGCAGAGGGAGTTTGTCGATATTAATTTTCCTGAACCTAAAGGAGCATCCAAACTGTTGTGTCATTCATTCACAGGACCTGAATCATGCACTCTGTAGCAAAAAATCGACCCTATTAGATCCCCTGGAGCTATAGCCCTAACCCCTGACCCCAAATACCAACCGTACAGTGTACAAATAAGCGGAAGTCTATCCTGCTACATTTTCCAATACAAATGACTGACCATTAACACATAGTCTGTCTTGCATAGCTCTCATATAGCTCTCTTATTTGTAACAAAATTATTTGATTTCATGTTTTAAGTTCTTTGTTTCATTTACATTTTTACAAGTACCGGTATTCAAACATGGACAACCCTTTTTTTTGCGCCGTACCTTTTTTCTTTAGGAAGGCTTTTCGAGTGGCCAAGGGACTCTGATGTACTTTGGGATTTTGAAGAAATTTTACAGCTGTAGAAACCTAGGAAGAGACAAAGGGCAGACAAAAGACAAAATGTGAGATCCAAAGGACAGTCCCATTTTGAAAAAGTCCACGCTGTCAATAAAGACAAGTATTTGTTGCAAGTTGGGTTGTGGCGAGTTAAAAAAAAAAAAAGGGAACAATAAAAGGAATCCATTTAATGGAGCCCACCTGACTACTTTCAAGCCACTGTAAATGGAGAGAATGACCAAATCAGCAGTTATAAAATTAGCCCATCAAGAGTGGTAGACAAATGGAGTATAGAGCTTAATTTGCTATTACCCTCTTCAAGACAAACTTCCATTCTTAAGTGCGCACTGAAAGAAAATCTATACTTACTGCGGAGGTGATCATTTGTATCTAATAACTTTGGATTCCTAGGCAGAAAACCTCTGCAATTCTTCCAGTTAAAAACCTGCCGTGATCAAATCACACCGCCTCAATGTTGTAATGACTTGAAACGTTAATGCACTAGAAAGTTAAATAGCATCAGAACATCAAAAGTTTTAAGTGCACTGCTTTCATCGATTCTATGATGTTTTCCTTTGAGATGAACTTTAATTTTCCATCCGAGTATGCATTTCCAAGAATTGGAAGGGAGGTGGGGGGAGAGGGGAGGATCGTCCGCCAAACTGCATTAAACAATAAATTTGGAGTGGGCGGCGTGAGGCGGGGCCTTGGAAAATGGATAAATATGTAAGAACTCAGAGAAAGGGGGAAAACAACCGGAGCGGAGGCTTAGATGACTTCTCATCACACCTGTGGTCCCTGTGATTCAATGGAGAAGTCATCCCTCTAATAGGTTGAAAGGTTTTGATTACTCTTCTTTTCTTTTAGCGTCGAACGATACAAAGTGATTGAGCGCCCTGCCAGTAGTGATTCTTTTTGGGATATGCATTGCGTACACTGCGCACCCATTCCGATCCAAAAGCGTGACCGTTTAAACATGTCCGGTGGATATTTGAGAAGAGGAGCGAGCTTTGATTCTGTGACAAACACACACAAGGCGATCACGTCCGAGCAAATTCATGGCTCTTATTAAAGTCTATTTGACTTTTCATTCATGTGTGTCGACTGCAATTAAAGTGAAGCCAAATTAAGTATACTTTATTCTAAGAAGGCACAGAAAATATTTCCAGGCAGTCAACGTAGGTTTCCTCTCCTTTTTCCAAGTGTAACTACTAACAGCGACCAAATTTGACCAAATTTGAAACCAATATTAATTTAGTGAACACCTAAATACTACTGTTGCAAAAATGAAGTAGTCTTGATGGACATTCAGGTCACAGAAAGGATACAGGAATGGAAACCATATGGCAAAACTACACAACAAAAAATTGAACTATAAAAAGAAACACTCAATAGGGTAAGTTAAGAAGCTGCTGAATCGGCAAATCTTGTCGCCTCACCATAGCAATGCAATATTATTTGGGATAGGCCAACTATCGGCCAGGCCGATTATCAGCAACAATTTTTGGCATGTTTACAAATATCTGCGTTGATTTTTTTTTTTTAATTTGAAGGTCAATAAGAGATAAATTTTAAACTGGTTTAAAACTTCAAGGAACTATTTAAATGATCAATTTATGATGCTGCTGACACTGGGAACTCCCTGCTTGCACATTTTGGTTTGTTTTTGTTTGAAATGAAAACAAAGTGAAAACATTTCCGTTACATTGAAATTTTGGAAAACCGTGTTTACTGTGGAACACTTACAGGAGCCATTCACTTGTTTCGCTTTTCATTTAACTTAAGACACGCTGACAACCCTGCAAGCTTCTGTACCAGCACTTTTTGTCAGAATTTAAAAACAAACTTGTTTATTCCACAATCTCTAAAATTAATTGGAAAACGGGTTGCAAAGTTGGGAAAAGTTATTTTAACAAACATGCCGCATGGCATTTCAACAAAGTTAAGAGTTGGAGGGGTTTTTTTTCATTGTGACACCAATATTTTTTTAAGATGTATCGGTCTATCACTAAATATTATTACTAAAACATTGCGGTCATGTTAACAGTCATAAAGACACAATTTTTGAAAGACCACGGCTACCTCAGTGGCAAACTAATGAGGCACATGTCCATTTGGTTAGCGTGAGATCTTTAGGGAAAGGAAAAGTGCACTTCTTAGCAGATGACATAGAAGCTTTAAACAAGTTCCACCCAGACATCTCAATCAATTATAACCACATTGCACAGATTTTAGTCTTGTCTTGTTATTGACTTATAGATCATCTCAGTCATAGTGTTGGGTAGCACAACTCAGCTCTCTGAAGTGGGTGTGGGGGTGGAGATCATAACAAAAGATAGTTTGCCTTTGTCACAATCTATGAACAAAATAATGGCATTTCCACTGACAAAAAAAAGTCAATTTAAAAAATATATACTTTTTAAAAATTGTTTTTGTTTCTTTTGTTTTTCTACTTGCTAAGGCACCCAAGCGCTTCATGTTAAGGGCAATAATCATTACAAACCAGATATCCATTAAAGTGTGAGGTACAGCTGAAAAAGAGGAGCAGAGACCATTAACCAACACACTTACCGGGAGTGAAGTTGATGAGCGAACAGGATTACAGCCATGTTATTGAGTTTGAATTGGACAAGACTTGCGCTACACTGCACAAAATTAGAAATGTAATGCGTTGATTTGCGCTAAATGGGAACAAAATGTATTTATGCTCATACCACATGGTGGGGGAACCCATGTAAGCAGTCGTATCCAAGGTGTGTTAGAAAAGTTGCAGGACTGGATTTACAAAAGGTATACTTCAAATCCTAACAAAAAAAAAAAAGTAAATTTTTTTTTGCTCTTAAAATTAATCCTCTTGAAACCCAACACACTTTCCCAGCATTTTTTTGAACATGGCAATTCTAGAAGGACTGATAATTAGTCCTCCATTGTAACGGCCATCTTGACGTGATCCACATCTTTGAAACGGGTCCATGCGATGACCGCCTTTAGCCTTGGGAAAGAACGGTGGAAAGGCACAGACACTGGTCGGGTGAGTGGGGCAGTAGCGCCAGAATTTTTAAGGCACTATATTATAATTATTTTTCATCGTTAAGATATACTCCTTAACTATACTTTTTCTCAATTTGGAGGACATGATGCGAGTAGGATTTAGGGAGGAGGTGCAACGGAGTGGGCGAAAAGGAAGTCATTAGCAGGTATAGGATTCGGTCTCAGTGTGAATCAATTAATTCCCAATTGCCCTGGCCTGTACATTGGTGGAAAAGTGCCCCTGATATGATAATAGACTAATAGACATGGACAAAAATTGTGTTAGAATGGTCTCACATTTCCAGCCCTAAACACATATCAGGAAGACCAAAAGCACAGAGAACGAGAGAGACATCAAACTAATGAAGTTATTAATAATGTGCTTTCCTTTTAAGATGTCTTACAGGACTAAACCAAATATCTCCTTGATAAAAGAGCACATCTAAAAATAAATTAAGTTTTAATGAAATAATTGTATTTCCTTTACTCGCCCTACTAGTTGATGTGGCCAACAGTGCTTTTTAATCTTTTTAAAAGAGCCGTTTTAAATGCCCTTCTAATTGTGACATCAGTCCCACCTTAAGATGACCTTTAGCGGAGGAAGCAATGCCTCATGGGAGCAGCTAAAGAGAATTATTGACCCTGTTAGACATCAGGAAGCGAGGCGCACACTCCACTTAGACACTATGCAGTCATGGAAAAAAAAAATATTAGACAACCTTGTTCGTTCCAATTTCTTGTTCATTTTATTGCCTGGTAACCACTAAAGGCGTATCACCTGACTAACAGACAGAAAATTTAACACAGAGTGCCGAAAAGCATCGCTTTTGGGCAGTACAATTGATGTAATAAAGTGTTTTTGGTTACTATCAAGAAAACCATAAAAAATGGTCGGGTATTAAATGAAACTCTGAAGAGCTATTTTTTTTTTGTTGTCATCAATATAACTGTCATAACAAAAACTAGAAAACAACGAGAACACTTGGTTTCACATTGAGCACTCTCTGTTAAGGACATAGAGACATTTTCACAAAACCTGCATCTACTACAACTGGGAGAAAATGTGGCCAAATCCACCAGTTTTGCTCTGGATTTTGTAACAATGCCGGAAAGCAAAAGGCGAAATAACCTTGGTAGAATTTCTGTGTCCTATGCTCTTAGAATGTGGTCAATTTTTATTGAATGATGCCCAACGTTAGAAAATTAAAAGGTCAAAGCCAACGTTTCAATACATGAAACGTACAATGGAAAACCCAATTGACATTTAGGTTTAAAAATAACATGCAACAGTGTATCAGTGACAGCCACGGGCGAGGCTACAATCAAGATGTCAAAGCAGGATTATGCAATTTTTTTAAAGGGGAATGAAACGGAAATCTGTGTTTTGTTCCGTCTCTCAGACTGCAGATACGAGCCAAACTTTCCATTTAGCATAGTTTGTATACCGGCATTCTATCAACACTAATATGGAAAGGTTGAGTGGGAAATAAAATTGAGGGGTAAAGTAGAGTTTATTCACTAAGGACGATGAAAAAGGAAATGCTCAAAAATGATAAAGAGATATTATAACTGGAGGCATTTAGATCACGTCCTGTAAATGAGAATAAAGTTGTTGCTTGCTATGAATTATTTTGGCTCAAGTTATCAGATAACCGGGCCCAAGCAATTGCTCGGACAGTACACACACACACACACACACACACACACACACACACACACACACACACACACACATACATGGAAACATGGAAACTCCACACAGGAAGGCCAGAATCGAACCCTGCACCTCTGCACTGTGAGGCGGACGTGCTAACCAGTCGCACACCGTGCGTCTTTTAACAAGCAGTTTTTTGTAATTGGTACAGTAACCAAGTAACTTTTAAAGTCTAGTAAAGGCAACTTAAGTAACTGTGGCAGCACTGTGTGTAAACACATGCACAGCGTATAGTGTGTCATGTTTTTTCTTGAAGTTGGCAATTCAAATCGATCAGGCAAGCTTC